TTATAATATTTATTTAGCAGCCTTTAATAATTGAAAAAGTCCATATTATGAATTCAGTTAATTGTCCAGCACTACTTTGGAGTAAATACCTGCTTAATATTGAAAGTCGGTGTGTCTTTCTAGACGAAGAAAGTCAGCTTAGACGATTGGCTGCACAGGATGAGGAGGAGCCACATAAGGAACCACTATCATGGTGAGTGTCTCATGCAGTGATTGAATCACTTTCCTATTGTATCCTTTTGTATTTTCTAAACCCACTAGAGAGGCTTTTAAAATCAATAATACTGATTGATCTCATTCTCATTCATATTCGTTCTCACTTAATCTCGCTTAACCTCTATATAGGTGAACAAACACTACAACAAATGTAATTTTTTTACGTTTTAATAGCAAAGAAAAATCCCCATGATATCTAGTAGTAACAAACCTCTTGCTAATTTCATTCCAGATCCCTCTGTGCTCTTGGGAAATTAGGGTTTCCATGGTGACCTCAGAATGACCCATGGCTGATAGCTCCTTATCTCAGTGGCTCTGGTATTTAGCTCAGTGCCAGGCAATCGCAGACTCCAGAGGAACAGCCCAACCCAGACCTGCCGAGGCAGGACTGTACGATCATTTTGTAGCAGTCTTTTGCGAGCCTAAGATTATTGTTACCTACATTTGATTACTATTATAATTATTGTATTGTAACGGTTTGTTGATATTTGGTTTCATATGTAAAACTCAACAGGTATAGTACTGATTTCCAGCTATGTATTTTTTCTTTTTATCCATAATCATTTGGAAAGAAATTCCCTTTATGTTTGTTTAAAATATATATAATTTACCTGAGGAATTTTATTTCCCCACTTATATGTGATATGACTTGACACCATTTGAAAAGAGGCAAATGATTTGTTTATTACTGTCCACAATCAATGGTCAGTCATTTCAGCACATTAGTATATAACTCATTTCTTATTTTTAATGGATTTTCAGAGTCTAATCTGCACGTTAAACATCAAAGGCATTTCCTCTAAGAATGTACTCAGAAACCTTTCTTTATCGTTGCTATTAAGAAATCGTTATTCAGGTGTCCATTTAGTCTGGTGTGATTTTTAGGGTGCTGAATAGCCCAGTTCCATACTACTTTTTCATACAGTTAAATCAAAACCAATAGTTCATTCAGATGAGATGCCCTCCTTTAAGAGTAAGGCAATGCACACTTTCTATGTAATACATCCTCCATGCCAAAATTTGATTTCAGTCATTTTTACACAAAAAAGAAAGGCAAATCGAGTTTGCCTGCTTCTCATGTTTGCACTGCCATATCAGTTTTATAAAATATTGAAATACTTTTTTTAACTGTTTCTTAGTGAAAAGTGATTAGATTGATTGAGTCAGTATAGTTGTCATCTAGACATGTTTTTTTTTTTATCTTCGCAACGAACAGAACGGACATAGAACAGTTTGAATCATGCTGTCCTTGAACCAACCAAAACGCTGCAGTGTGCTTTGGTTTTTTGCAAATCACACTGAATGATTTACCCTAACTCTGTGCTTCCACGTAGGTCACGTGACTATGTCATAAAGTCAGAGATCTAATTGTGATCCACCAATAAGAATGTGCCATTATGTTTCTTTTAGGGTTGTGCATCCCAGTATTGATTCAGTGTGAAGTAGCCCATTGGTGGACACTGTGTGACATTGATGTTTGTTTGTATGCATTTTATGCACATCAAATTGTCCAACAGTTAAATCTGTCAGTTTGAAACCGTCTAGCACAGTATTATATGTGTCTAGGCTTTTTGGATTCCACCATGTTACTGATACACTTCGAGCTCCTGAAATCTACCGATATGACTATAGGAGCTTGCAAGTTTTATTTAAAGGGCATTATGTATATGAAGTCATGTTTATGTCACATCAATATGTGATTGATTTTTGCCATTATTACAAATTATATAGGTATTAATAAGCATCATTAATGACATGTATACCACCTAATCATGTTCTGTGAAGTGTAATTGCCATTATGAAATATGTGCTGATGCGTGCATATTTGCATGATTTCTTTAGTTTTTTCCAGATCTTTATTGATGGCACAAAAAAAACAAGTCTGTAATCTGTTTTGAAAATGATATGAATTGAAAGAACAAAGGTTTTGTTAGAGCAAAACCTTGTTGAGAGAAATAACGCATACAGCACAGGGCCCATGTTTCCAGCTTGTACTGTTGTCGTCTGTGATTCACGGGCATGACTGTGTGAGATTTTCCCTTCCATCCTGCTTGTTAACATTTTATCCTCTCAGGGAACTTGCTTTGATTTCACTTTCTGCTAAAAGCACAACTCAAACTGAAAATTTGTTAGCGCAGAGGCTTCTTTAATAGGCAAGGTAGCACCATCTGTTTACCCATCGTGAGGTTGATATGAAAGAATTCAAGGGCTGTGTGGCTGATCTCCTTCAGTATGTAGCCAAGTTCCTTTTCTTGATCACATGTGCTTGTGTGATCAAGATACCTTTCAAGATACTTTTTTCCATCTTTGGTTTTTGTATGGGACAGATAGGGCTGAAATCACTGGCAGATGGGTTCAGAGAGTGTTGTGTATGAGCCACAAGAGTTTGAGCGGCTCTTAACAATTAGTGGAATGTACTATTTATACTGAATTAGAAGGGAGTAACTGTACATGCAAATTGGCAATTTTTTTATATGAAATATTTAGCCATTATTTCTGTCCCCTTACTTTCTTCTGAAGAATGATTCTCAAACAAATTAAGCTCACTCTTTGTCTACTTGTCCAAAATCAATGTGATTGTTCCACATCGCTATTTCAAGTTCTGGACTTTTCTTACAATGCAGACGTTTATTAGCTATTGGAATAAATAATAAAATTGTTGAACTCTGTCTAACCATGTCATTTCCCCCAACCAAAAGTCAAGTATTCAACAGAAATTAGTTATAGATAGCTTATAACTACAGATAATAATTTATAATATCTAAGCACCAAATCTGCATATTATAATTTTTTCTAAAGGATCTTTGCTGCTGAATATTCAGCTTTGCCATCAAAGGAATAAACTATTTTAAAATATATTAAAAGTTATTTTGAACTGTAATAATATATCTTTGTTTTTTACTTCATTTTTGATCAAATGAGTATACATATATATATATATATATATGTGTGTGTGTGTGTATGCACACACACACACACACACACACAGGTCAAATGCCATTTTATCATCATAAGGGGATCATATTTGTGGTTTCATGGCATTAAAAAGTGTTTGAAAACACCTGTTCTATATAAATGCAACCAGTAGATGGCAGCACATGTCTTTATAATGGGTGTGTTTTTCTCGATGCGTTTTTGTTTTTTAGGTTTGTCTTTTAAATGATTTACCATTTTTGGTTCATTACACAGTTGATTGACCTTCCCGTGATCAACTATCTGTGAACTGGTATTCCTGGAATTACTAGGAAACCGGGCACAAAGCCCTATTCAACGACTCCATGGTCACATCACTTATCAGCCAAAGACAAAATAAAAGCATTTCACTATCAAGCGTCAAGTGAGCCACTGTGGCAAAAAAAAAAAAAACTCTCCTGTATCTAACACACTTATCTTTATGACACACTAAGTTGACCTTGAGGTGTTTTCCTCCTTAACACAAAAGGATCTGGTAATAAATAAACATACATTTCTCTTGACCCAGAAACATTATTCCAGAACTCTTTTTCAATCAACATTTTGCATTAGATATAAACTTTTTAGGAGAACAGACAGACAGAACTGTAAGATTGCATTCATCATACATTATCAGTTTATCTGAACTGTGCTAACACAATGTTCTGGCACGTGTTATATCGTTGATATAAATTAAACCATAACATCCATTAGCAGAAGAAAGAATATTTTAACATACTAAGCATTGTATACATGCATTAAGGCACAAGAGGCTGTGCTGTTTGTGAATACAGTCTATTTATTATGTGTCATGCCACCCTTTAACTATATTCACAACACAGCATGATGGCCTTAAGAGCCTTATTGCATAACCAGAAACTTTAGAAACAATCTTAACCTCCTCCCACAACTATACATTTAGCATACAAATTGTCTAACTATATTTCACAGACTCTAAGTCAATATTTCACGTCACTTCACAATGACAATGAATTGCACGTTCAGATTGTGATTACCCCCCCAATCAATTCTTCCGAACCATTCCAAAAGTTTTGCTGTGTGCATTTGGGTCTCTTTTTTGCAGCAGGTTTTACAGGAACTAACTGCTTTTGGCTCCATCTATTTTGCCTTTGGAAGCAACATACAAGTTCTCCTGATGATGAAAAAAGCATATAGCTATTTTGACTTTAAGGACAAATGTAAGTTTATGTCTTTTCTTTGAGGTCGTATTCCTACATTTCAGTCCTATTTGACCACTTTTTATTTCAAAATGTTTCAGGTTGTCATATGGCTTCTAGCAACCACAGGAATGGGGCTGGACTGGCTCTGCATAGATGTAGCTGGATTCAGCCCACTCCTAAAGCTGTGAAATGCCAAAGAGACTGATATCTGGCCATTTTCTCCTATTTCAGTACTTTGTGAAACTCACTTGCCTCATTCATTTTTCTGACAGATGACCTTTTTGCTTGGTTGCTCAGTGCAGTAGATTTTGGGTGAAAATTTTCACCCATTTTGTTTGAAAGGGTCATCACAGTTGTAGAAAAGTATTCTAACTTCCTCCAGGATTTACCACTTTTCGTGGTCAGCATGGTCATGTCAGTATGAATGAACAATTTTGCGTTTTTATAATATAATAAGATAATATACATGTATAAATGTATTATAATAAAAACAGTCCTATTTATGTGCAACCAATAAAACTAACATATGTTCTTATAACATATATTCTGAATAATAATACAATTATTAAAATAACCCTGAATACATCTAACTTTTCATCGTAACTACAGAGAATCTTCAACAGGAGTTTCTGAACTACAAATCGTTGATATTTAACCCTGCAACAAAACTTTTTGTTCTCTAAATGCTTCAGTGGGATTTATCACGACATGAACCATTAACAGGAACAACAGACCAAAAATAAAACTAAATAAATTTTACATTAAATTCCTGAAACCTTTCAAGCAATTCCATAACCGAATTGGAGATTTTGTTGCTCCTTCAGAGGATAAACATTTGAATTGCAGCACTGGATTCATTTAGCGCTTCATCGTCACACTCCTTTTCAGCACGTATACCACGAATCCATTCCATTCATATTCTCGACAGAACAGCCAATCAGAGGCCACGCTTAAACGGATTTCCGCGAATCAGAAATCGGTGATCCTCCGTCGCCCCGGCAACCGTTATGACGTCGCTAGAGTATCCCGCCCATCAGTTTGTGCGTTCGAATCGTTAGGCACGCAGCCATTACAATACGCTATATTCAAGCCGAGCGCCACGCGATTTAAGGAACCAGACTATTACTGGCTCACGTTCTTTCTTTAAATATCAGTTTTATGAAACTCAATTTGAACTTAAAAGATCATATTTTTGGATAACAGTCGTGTATGTAAATATAGTCAGGCGTTGCGTCGACGTGAGACGCTCCGCATTCCCAGGCAGTTGACTCACCGGAGACACGCGCAGACATAACTTACAGCCTTTTCCGTTTGTTCAGCTCATTCATTTGAACGCCTGTATTTCGTTAACCAAGAAGATTCAGATTTAAGAGACTCGCTTCGATTTAGATGGCAAGCTTCCCAGATTTTGTCAACGAAAATGAAATAGGTGAGTTTCTGTTTTCCATGGGGGCAGGGTCTTATTGTTTACCGTTAGTACCTTTTTTAACGTGTGTGTTATCCTATATAATGCGTGTTTACATTTGTGCAGCTATGAATTTAAGCGACTTAACGTTACTCATAATTCCAGTGTTTGTGTGGTGTCTCCATATCAGCCATATTAGGACACAATTGTCGCTAAGACGCAGATTGAACTCAAACAACTGCGTACGCCGCGTTTGACCGTTAAAATATTGCGAGTTATTTGAATATTTCATAGTTATTGTTAGTGCTTTAATTATCACACCCAGAGCGCTTCCACACACCTCCCCCATCGTCAGCAGTGGTTTCTCCAGACCCCTGTGAATGACTCACCACACCAGTGAGTGAGTCACCATGTCAGCTACACGTTTCGCAGTCATGCTTTGTGTTAATTATATAAACTTTAAAATTTCTGAAGAAGAAAAAAAAGAGCTATATGTGATTTGTGTTGGTTTTAAAATTTTAATATCCAGCACGTGTTCATATAGTGACTAGTATCTATTCAGTTATGAGATATTACCTGCTACTAGTCTGTATCCTCTTAGCGACAAGTATCTATTCCATTGTTTCTGGTAACAAATTACTTTTTTTTTTGTCACTGAATGCCACATACATTGACTTTTTACTATAAAGTATTATACATTCCAATTGTTACATATTAACTTTTGAAATCAATACCAATAAAGTTACTATTTGCCAAAAAAGTGCTAGAAACACAAAAATAGATGATCCACAACATAAAAAATGTATTTGTCTAAAAATGTACAATTAAAAACAAATTAATTTAAAAGATGGTTCACCAAAAGATGGTTTTGCATTGACTTTCTTTCCTCAGTGGAACATAAAAGAAGATATTTTGAGAAATGTCTGAGGATTTTTGTCCATACAATAGTAGTCAATGGTAACCAAAACGGTTTGGTTACCAACATTCTTTAAAATATAAATTTTTGTGTTCAGCAAGGAAAAAAGTTTTGCAGGTTTGGTACAACATGATGGCGAATAAAACGATCATCATTTTTGGGTGAACTATCCATTTAATTTGTTTACTTTTTTTTTTTTTTTTATCTAACAGGTTTTTAATTTGCGGAAGTAGATGGACATACAGCTACAGTAATTTAACTTAATGACGGCTATAAAGTCATACATACACGTTTGCTGTTAAACAGTAACAAAAATTGGTCTGCCAACTAGTTGGGTTTGGGTTTTCTAAAAATTAAGGGTTTAACATGTGCTTTCTGTTGCAACAGGTAAAGCTAAGTTCATCGGGGAACTCATACCTCCTGTTGCTCCCTTTGACCAGAAGTCTGGAAGGGAGACTTGGACTGCAGCTTTTGCACCTGATGGATCTTACTTCGCTTGGTCTCAAGGGCATCGAATTGTGAGACTTGTACCATGGAAAAAATGCTTAGCCAGCTTGTGAGTATACACACTGATGTCTTTGTTTCTCACTATGGTGAATTGTTACAATACAGCTTGTGTGTTGATGGACTGACAAAGGCAGTCTGCGCGTGTGCTGGTTGTCTGGTTTGGCCCTCTGGGCTTTCACATGGTGGCTACGCCACAGTGGTGCCCAGTGTTTGGGCTTATTTAGCAATCAGTGGCGTTGCATAGACCACCAGTTATCATCTCACCTTACCCTGTGTGGATAGAGACACCGCCATTGAGCACGCAGCCCTGCCAACCAGTTATTGTCCAGTACTGAATGCAAAGTCCTCATTATGAGGTTCACGTCATTGCCCTTTGGCTGCATGCCTCCAACTGAGCGACTTTTTGGGCTGTTTGTTTACTCTCCTCTTTGCCTGTGTTAAGGGGAGACACTGCAGGCGAAAACACTGTTTTTTCATGCACCTGTCAAATTTGAGATTTTGGCCTTTTCGGTTTTTCATAAAGTGTTTTTTCAGAATAGTGGAAAGAAAACATCCAAAAGACACTAAGTGTTTCTTTTATAGAACTTTATCCATTTGTGTCAATAGATTTCAATTACAATACATATTTTTAAAGGCCGTTTTCTCAAAATGAGTTTTTTCTCCTACACTGAACCGTAAATCTCCACTTCAGTAGCACTTACACACACACCAAACTTTACATTTTTATTCCTGTCTATATCCTGAAGGTTTTTCCAGAGGGATTTGTTCATATATAATTTGCTTGATTATATACAACATTTTATTCCCCCAAAAATAGTGAAAATGATGTTTTCTGTCTGTTCTAAGCATTTTCTGAATTATGGAGTGACAAAAATGAGATACCCAAAATTCCCTCTGTAAAAACTTTTGAGACTAATATGTCAAAAAAAAATGTAAACAAGAATTTTGCAACTGACATAATCCAGTGTTTAGATTTTTGTACCAGAAATCTATGCAAATTAGCGCATATTTAATTAAATAATGACTCATTTGCATATTTAAACCTAACATTTTAGAAAACTTGTAATACAAACATTTTTTGCAATTATCAATGTAATCAATCAGCTGGGTAAGTAAGGCCATAACTATTAGCTTTTTTTTTTTTTTTTTTTTTACCCTATTCACCTGCAGTGTCTCGCCTTAGGTCTTGTACTTTTCTGCAAAAGTGGGGGACAAATTGATCAACCCAACAACTTATTCGGCAGTCATTATATTAAATGTGTTTCTGGGTTCTTGTAAAAAGTAATTATCTTGTGGTCTTCTTGGTGCATGCTCAAGCTAGTATTCTTTGTAAAAAAAAAAAATAAATACCAGACATATCATTGCAACATAAACCATGCAGACAACTTTAAAACAAGTAAAACTTTAACAGAAGTTACGATAGTTGGAACAAACAGTTTCTTCATGTGTCTATAAAAGAGAACCATGGTATTGTAAAACTATTTTCAGTCATTCTACGTTGAAGTGTAGTAACTTTATTAGTAGGTGTACACACAAAGGACATCATTTGGCAGTTAAATTTATTTATAGATTCGGAATAGTTATTACTAAACTAAAATAATTCTGAAATAATTGGGGAAAATACATTTGCATTACATTGACCAGAGTTGTTCTAGTTAACTAAAAACATTTTAAAAAGTTGAGTTGATGTCGTAAAATGACAAATTAAAATATATTGAAACGAATAACTATATATACATACAAAAAAAAAATAATAATAATAGTGACAAAACACAGCAACATTTCTAAAACTTTAAAGTTTACTAAAAAATAAAACTTAGCTGTGATAGTATTTCAGTGGCACTAAAATCAAAGGCACATTTTTATACAGGTTATTTTAGTCTTAATTTTTTTTTTTTTATTATTATTAATTTGGCTTTAGAATGTACTTTATGAAAGAATCTTCATTTTTGGGTGAACTATTCTTTTAATGCTAAAACAAAAGGAAGTCACTGTGCCATTAAAAGCTTCAGCTGACACATGCCAGGCTGTTTCAGTTTTGCAGTGCCTGCTCTGTATTCACACAGTAACTCTTGTAATGATTCCAGAACCTTATTTGATGAGTTTCATGCACTGGCCAAGTGACGTTAAATGGGTCAAAGTTGATGCAACACTTCTGCAATCTCTAAGGCTGGGAATTTACTTAGTGTTCAAATATTCCTAAGAGTTAAAATGTGCAGCTTGTTTCAACAGACATGCTAGATAATGTATTTAAAAAGTAAAATGTCCTCTTGCTGTTTATAAACTTTAAGAGAATTTGTTATCTGTTTTCCATCAAGCAGAGAAATGATTCTCATACCAACACAACACAATGACTTTTTCCTCTTTCCCTTCCTCTTGCCCTAGTTCTGTAAAAAAGGAAGATCGGTCGAGCGGTGCAGGTCCTCGACGACTCTCCCGGCAGAACAGTGAAGGCAGTCTGCTGCCAGGTGAGCCCAGAGAGCACACCATCGACTGTGGTGACATTGTTTGGGGCCTGGCATTCGGCTCTTCTGTTCCCGAAAAGCAGAGTCGCTGCGTTAATATCGAATGGCATCGGTTCAAGTTCGGCCAGGACCAGCTGCTACTGGCCACGGGCCTCAACAACGGCCGCATCAAAATCTGGGATGTCTATACAGGTGAGGGTCCTCTCACTGAATCAAGCATCACAGACTAATCTAGTATCTTAGTTAATATGTTTATCATTAAGTATATTGTATTTATTTAAAAAAATTTATGTTTCTGCACTAGAGTAAATGTTTTAACCACAGTCCACCCATGCCATCCTCTCTCAACACTTCTTCATGTCAGCTTCCTGTTTTTCTGTTTCCCAACAGATGCGTGTGCGCTCACATGTAAGAGAGAGGGGAGGTGGTGATTATATAAGATGTTGACACAATCTTTTAAGCCCTACCTTTTTGTAATTTTGACCCATTTCTATCACTTAATCATACTTCCCTCATAATTTCCAGATGCATGTCTTGTATACACCTACTGATTTTTAGCATTTTTATGCAGTCATCAGTCAGTATTTAATTATTTTTATTGCATATTTATTCGAACTTTATAGGTACACTCTCCCTTACACAATAGATCTCACCACTTTATGAACCTTTTTTTAACGCTTCACCAGTGGTTTCTTGGCCACTTAGGTTCTGCTTTTGTGCCTCTGTTGAAGTTTCACATTTTAATGGTCATAAATTGTGCGTAAATCTGCTATCAGAAAATGAATTGCTGTGTTGGTGTTTTTGTGAAACGGACACGTGGTTGTTGACTGCAGAAAAACCAGCAAGTCTTCTGAGTTATATAATTAATTTTTGCTCCGCTGTAAAATGTGTTAATAGGTGGGCAAGTCTTGTACAGACACTGCCATTGGTTGTTCTGAAGGTTTAGAGATGTTTTCTTCAGAGGATGACTCCACCTCCCTTCTAACTGAAACTGCAATGCCATAAATTTACCCAGCAGACTTGCTCTTTTCAGGGTGCGAAACTTCTCCTCCAGCTGCCTTTATTTTTCTCCCTTCAGAAAACATTCTGGAAATCTGATAGCAATGTATTGTACAGTATCTCTACAGGATCTGTGCCGTACGCCCATCATTCTATATGCTAAGCGAATGTATGTTTTCATGCTTGACAGGTTGCAAATAGGCCCTGTTACTAATCCCTAATCATATTTTAAAAACACATGTTAAATATTTTTGTATCACTGTAGATGCAACTAATTATAGGGATTTAATGCGGATTAGCCTGGCAGATGTCAGTGATTGTGCTTCCACATGCCTCTAGGCAATTCAGCACCATTCATAAAGAAAGGTGTATAACTGCTCTATTTTCTGAAACGCCTTGGGAAGTCCCTTTTCGACATCTGCTTAAGTGTAAAAGCCTCAAACATAATCTTTCTCTCTTTGATTCCGAAGAAGTCAAAAAAGTTTCTAAAGTAAATTGTGTGAAAGGCAGCTGCCAAGATGCAGTAACAAGATGTTGATACTAATGCAACGTTGACGCAGTTTGAATCGATTACCGTGGACTTTGTGCTGTAAACAGTGGTTGATCTGGAATGATTTGGCTGAGGCCTTTTTTTTTTTTTTTACCTTTATCCTCAGTTTTGTTTTGTTGTATACAGGAAAACTTTTGCTGAACCTAATGGACCACACAGACATTGTACGAGACCTAACATTTGCCCCAGATGGGAGTTTAGTGCTGGTTTCTGCTTCAAGAGACAAGACTCTACGCATATGGGACCTAAAAGATGATGGTGAGGATCAAATGTTGATTTTGTATAGGGCTGCACGATTAAATCGCATGCGATATTTAACGCGCATCTTGTCAGTAAAGCCATTCTGTAATCAGCGGTAAATCTCCATCATGTGTCAATGTGAAAGCCCGCACGTGATGGAGATTTACCGCTGATTACAGAATGGCTTTACTGACAAGATGCTCGTTAAATATGGCATGCGATTTATCGTGCAGGCCTAATTTTGTATTTGGTGCCACTACTATTTTTCTTTTGAAGCTTTACATGTAAGTATTAACATGCTAAAACTAGATAGTGTGTAACCCCAAGCTGAAAAGTCTCTGGAGTAGGCATGGGCCGATTACCGGTTTCAAGGTATACTGCAATTTGGAAATGTCACTTTCAAAACCGCTAATATTTTCCGTTATACCGTTCCTGCAGTGTGCGCTGTTTTTCATGTCTCCTCAAAGACTGAAAGTGTAGGAATCCCTCAGGTTGAGTGCAGTGTAGAGAGTAACATGACCCTCCTCCTGTTGGTGCAAGTGAGCGGTCAGCCACGTGTGAGTAGGATGGCCGAACTTAAGGAGCTTCCTTTGGAACTTACGCGATCGGCAATTGACCGTATTTTTTTCTCTTATTGCAAGCAGCACGTCTCTGTTCTGGACTTACACACACTGCGTTGCAATGCAATCGTTTTCCAAAATGTCATTTATTTGAAAATATGAAGTCCAGGCCAGAGACGCTGAAGACGGACGCAGAAAAAGTTACATAGTGCTGCTTTAAAGCAGTGTTTCAGCGCAGTGCTGCTTTGTTTACAGCAGTAACCAAGGAAACACCGTATCTGGTGTTCCAGAAGCGCCTCCTGCTGTCAGAGAGTGAATCTGCATCTCATTCAGAGCTCCTGCTGTTTGTTTCGTTCAGGCATGTAGTATAATTTCACAAAGCTAGTCAGAACATTCTGTTTTTGCTTAGCTTGGTTAGTATTAAATCAAATTATGTATATGAAATTATATAACTAAATGATATGAAATGATATGAATGATATGTATATGAATTGTATAACCAAAATTAAATAACTGTAATTACAGATTTAGGTTAAATAAAGATGTCAGTCTTTATTTTTCTTTTTAGGAAACAAATTAAAGAAAAAATAAATTATACTGTTCCTAATATTCTGTATGTTGCTCAAAAACAAAATATATAGTGTTCAGCGGGAAAAAATTTTTTTGTGTTTTTACCCAGTCGTTTAAAAATAACACATTTTAGAGCTGTAACGACAATATCGTGATCCCTGTGAAACCGTGATATTTTTGTTTAAGGTTATCATACCGTCAAAATCTCATACCGGCCCATGCCTACTCTGGAGTAGAAGTTTCCTGCACAGAAGCAGCCTGCTTTGTTTTTTGCAGCCCATTTATTTTGATTTTATCTCCATGGAGTTAAGCACACACACGTGTGTGTAAGCATGCACGTGCACAGGGGTACTCAGGAGGGATAGTTGGAAAATAATTTGATGCCAAACCCAAAAGAATGTTTGCTGATATTTTCTCCTTGTCTTGCACAATCCAAGGACAAACTTGCTGTTTTAATAGGATCACATGAATCTTATTTATATGCTGAGAACTTGAAGATAAAATGGAGCTTACTGTATTTGCAAACAGTTTTTTGTTTTTTTTACTAATCATGAAGGAATGTTGGCCAGAGTTCAGCTAAATTTTCCCCAGTCTCAAAGTGGATGCCACTGGGACGTGAGAAGGAATTTAGCTACTTGCTAAAGTATATTTATTTTATTGTTCACTGGGCATCAACATTGCTTTCAAAGGTTAAATATTGTATTGCGATAAACAATGAAATGCAGGAAAATACTTTATTATTGTAAACTGTTTGCATAATGTTTATCTTAAATTGTAACAGAAATTTCCCTTTTATTTTAGAAAATTTAAAAAACTATAAATGTTAACAGAAAAAAAAAAAAAAAGTATTATTATATGTTTAAGCAATCTAAATTCTTTGTCTTAATAGGTAACATGGTGAAAGTACTCCGTGGCCATCAAAACTGGGTCTACTGCAGCGCTTTCTCACCTGATTCATCTGTCCTTTGTTCCGTAGGCGCTGGCAAAGCGGTACGTTTTGCAGTTCTTTCTTCCTCTTTATTACCCGTTTGGTGTGTTTCTTACTGTTAATAGTTCTGGTATGACCAATCAGTGAGTGCTAAATTAATCTTATATCATCATAATGCTCAGTGCCATAACCTGCTTCTGTAAACCCTGCCTGTAGTTTTGGTTTTTGGTTTGTTTTTGTTCATACAAATGAGTGCCTGGTTTTTATGCGCATGTTAATAGAAATGCAAATGGCTTATGAATTTTCTCCACCCATAAAGCTGTTCTTAATATTACTATTAATAACATCCTAAGAGACTTTCAGCTTAATTCATATTTTACTGTATTTTTTACTATTTTTACTGTATTTGTTTATCTTAGTGAGGATAAGAGACTTATTTTAAAAACATTTTTAAAAATCTTACTGACTTCAAACTTTTGAACAGTAGTGTATTGGATGTATTTGTCCTGCTGGTTGTGTGTGAAAGCCCTTATGGCACAATGAAGAAAGTATTCCAGTCAGTAAGTTATCCTCGAAACCAGCTCTCGAGTCTTTCCGACTCCCTAGCCAACTCTCCTCCCAAGAACAGACAGCAGGGGTTGAACTGTACGGTTGTGTGTGTCCATAAGTGTCTTGCTTTCCCTGTCCCAGGTGGTGGCAGAGCTCTGTGTTTGAGTGATTTTGAGGGAAGCGCCGCGCTGACATATAGAGCAGCCGGTGCGGACCACGCTGGGCACGGCTGCCATCGTGGCCCCCATTGGACGCTCATGTGCCCATGCCCCAGGGGCTTCCATGCTCCTGCCCACAAGGGCTTCCTGTACGTAGGTTCTGCTCCATGTCTGTCTACCTCCCGCTGTCGCAGTTCTCACTTCTTTTACCTTATCTCTCAAAAGAGTTGACAGTGAGATCCCCTTCCCTTCCTACCCCCTACTTCCCTTCTTTAACGCCTTTCCATCTCTATATTAGTAGCATTCCCATCATCTACACATTTACCCTAAAACAGGAGCTCTAGACATTGTGTCTGCTGTACGAGTACACGAGTCAGCTGGTAGAGACCCCCCTACTCATTAGTGTCTTAGTTAACTGAACTCACGACACCTCTGATACGCAACGCTCGACCGCTGGTCGATTTTTCTGTAATTAAAGCCCTACTCAGACTCTTTTGTAATGGGGTTAGTAGTTGGGTTGGGGGGGTGGTTGGGAGCATTGTTGGCATGTGTGAGCAATGAAAGGGCTCCTTGTGTCTCAAAAGAGACTGCCTGCAGTCAATGTCAGTCTAATGTGGAATGACTCGGATTGGGAAAACAGGTTCTGCAAATGTATCATTCCTTGTTGCATCATACATGGAGCCAATAGAAGCAAGACCTGTGTGTACTTTCCATGCTGGTTACATTTACTTGTGAAAGTGCATTTTGTTTTTCATGTGTGAATAACCTAATTTGTCATGTTCTGAAAGCGGAGTCTGTTTTCACGACGCCAGCCCGAAAACTTTAGCAAACACCAACTTGTTTTTCCTAATTTAAAAGGAACCACTGAATAATAGTAGTGCTTATTTCTCCTAAAGTAGATAAAATCGCACTAGTTTAACTTCCAAAAAAGGCAAGATATCTGGCTTAGCTTAGCCTTGAATGCTGGCAGTAGTTGTGCACCCTGAAGCCTTTTCATTTCACATTGCCAAGTTGGAGAATGTTAAATTACCCTTGTATATGCACCGTTGTATTTTCTCCACCAACACCAGAATGTTTAAACGGCAAATAGCTATTGAATATGTACACTTTTCCTCAAGTGCAGTGTCTGTAGCTTATAAGAAATAAACAAGAATGTTTCCTTATTATAAATATAGTCCACGCAGGCAGGCACCTTGATTTTTTGGCACTCAAAAATACACTGTTAAGGTGTGGTCACATCAGAGAAATTTAGCAGTCAAAAAAGCTCTGTTATCATTTGTTAATAGTGCAGCAATGAAGCATAGCTCACACTTAAGTCACTTTCATACAAAGTGGCTTTCTGTTCCCAATCTTTCTAAAACCATTTCGAAAATTTGTCGAACAGCAGTAAATGTGACCACACCTTTACACTTTCTTAAATGTAAAAATTGTGCTGGAGCAAATTAAGCACTAGAAAGTCTCATGGTTGATTCTTTAGCACAGTTTGCAGTTGTGACATGTCTGTATTCTGTGTTTGCCAAAGGCATCAACCTTTTGGCCATCAAATGTTCTCTTCTTTTGCAGTATCTCTGTCTCTTCGTAGGCCTCCACCGACGCGGTGCAAGCCTATTGTAAACTCACGTGAACTAAAACTGAAAGGGGATACCAGTGGAGTAACATTATGTTACCTTAAGTTACTACTTGTTTGTATTTTTTTATTTACATTATTTTATAGTAATTCTTGGAATAATGTAATTTTATATATGTAAATGTAATTTCTATGCAGATTTGTATCTTAGATTTTAATTTAAAAAATGTGAGCATTGATGTAATTTAAAGACTTGCAACTGCTAGCTGCTCTGTAGAGTTTGATATTGTGCAGTTTTGTGCAACTAAGCCTTGCTGTTTCATTGGCATGTGCTACTTTTTCTGGGTTTGGTTGTAGCGCTTAAGATTTTCCTAAAAAATGACACTGAGCACATTTTGATCTTGCTGTTTAATTTGAATTAATTCTTTGTTGGAATTCTTTGTCTCAGAACTGTGTGGAAAAACACAGTAGGCTATAACACGTCTTTTGCATTGCAGGTCTTCCTGTGGGACATGGATAAGTACACTCTGATCCGTAAGCTGGAGGGCCATCATAACGATGTGGTGTCCTGCGAGTTCTCTCCTGACGGGGCCTTGCTGGCCACAGCCTCCTATGACACCCGTGTCATAGTGTGGGACCCTCATACAGCCACCGTTCTGCTTGAGCTGGGGTAAGTGAGCCCCCCCCCCCCCCCCCCCCATT